ACTACCATCACCAGACTACCTTCACAGACTACCATCACCAGACTACCATCACCAGACTACCTTCACAGACTACCATCACCAGACTATCACCTGAATAAGGATTTAACGTTCTGCTTTATTCTGTTGGTCCACAGTCTCATTCTGATGATGACCGAAGACACAATGATTATCTGATTCATATATATTAATTTGTTTCTGTTATTGATTATGTGTTTAAACTGAGGGATGCATTGATCTCATTGATTGGTTGTTTTAGAGGCGTTGGCTCATCATCGGCTTCTTCTGGCTCATGCACGCGCCGATGATGCAGCCGATAAAAACCGAATTTACACGATGATTTACTGACATTAAATCAACCTTAAATAATCAGATTTTAACGTTAAATATTCAGATGTTAACATGACGTTTGTCTTTTTAAAGGGTTTAATGAGCAGCAGGTTCCTCTGAAGGAACGTGTCGGTCAACATGAAAGGATGGTACGTGAGTGACGTGTGTTTACCTCCGTGTTTCCGGTGAGAAAATAAAAGGTTTCTGAGAGTTTCTTCTTCTTCTTTGTTCTTCTGCCTCTTTCCCCTCTGTCGCTTCAGACGCTGATGCTCTGCTGCTGCAGGTTAAAAGAGCTCTGCGCATGCGTCAAGCTCACCTGAATATACACCAGGGTTTCCGTTTGGACTTTTCAAAATAAAAGCCCTGGGTAGTTCGTGCTTTTACTTTTTTCTTTCTTTAGTAGATTAACTCATTAGTTTACACATTAGAGAGAAAAAGCCTGTTTAAGTTATTTTAAACATAAGTTAATATTTTATTTTTATTATCTGATCTGTAGTCCCTGAAATAATGAAACATGAAACAATTTAAAGGCACGGAGAGCAATAATCAAATATCATATTAATGTTACCAAAATACTTTATTATGTAGTATGAGGTAATAATAATAATAATAATAATAATAATAATGCATTTTATTTGTAACGCACTTTTCATAAAACAAATCTCAGAGTGCCACAGAGCCAGTACATAGTAAAAAACATCGTTAAAACATAGTTAAAACAAACTATAATAAAATAACTAGTAAGCATAAAAAAACAGTGAATGAACAGAAACACAAAAGAAATAACAATAAAAACAATACACTTTTAGTTGTAAAACACCTTAAAGTGTACATCGTCTATACTTTACTATTGCCTATTGTGAACATTCTCACCATTTATGACTAACACTGCCAAGTCTTCACCCAGAGAACTCACCTTAAGCTCCTCTGCATGTTTCAGTCGTCACATCTTATTGCACCGTTAACGGACAGGGGAAGAGGGGTACATGGTTCTAAAGGACCAGAACACTGTTTTGGTTTCAGTCACTTACTAAATGTAAGGCTGTGTTTTTATTTCTGGTTTTCACACAAGATTCACATACAACGATTTCAATTCAATGAAACGGTTACAGTGGCTACAAGAACTAATTCTAGCATTGCTCTCTGTCAGCCTTCACTGGTTTTGATATGAGGTGTTCTCCAGTCAGCTCTCTGACATTCCCATTCTGTAGTTGGGGGAGAAGCCCCAATCTCACAGTTTTCCTGCTGCTTTCTATGCTGCTCTAAGGCTGGCACCTCCTTCATTTCATGTGTCACTCACACATGAGTCAGGATGTAACCAGTGGTAACTGGTTTGATCCTGCTAGAACCAGAAGCACTGTAAGGCTCTAGTGACTATTTTAAACAAAGTGTCTAACTCTAAACAGTTTATATGTTAAATCACAGCTATCATAAAATAAAACAATTCACATTATGATGGTTATAAAAAGTGTAAACATGCTATATGTTGTGCTGGTTATACTTTGAAATCAAAAGGGTTACAGGTTATAATAGCTATACTTTATGCTTTCATACGATCTTTCTACAATATTTAAAAAAGAGGAAGTAAAAAACCATCAATATTAAAATCAAAATGAAGAAGATAGAAAAACGTGTTAAATGTTTTATTTCTAAGTGTATATTTTTATATATGTTAAATGTAAGGATTAATAAATGAATATGAAATATGATATTTAACTTATATTGTTATTTTAACAATATTTAAGAAGACATGCTTAGTTTGAGCTTCAAAAGTTACACATTTATTTTGAAAGACGTGCTAATTTCCGGTATGTTCGGTATATGTTTCTGGCTCTCACACACACACACACACACTCACACCCACACACACACACACACA